TGATGCCATGTAGAAGCTTTTATTTCTCAACGTCCATCGGATAGTAAGTTAAATTTTGTGAAACATCTACTTAACTGCTTCGGTTTGGGTTTCATTATCAAATTTCCCTGTGCATTACTTTACTAGATGCTATTCGGACAACCCCCAAATTGATCGATGCTTCAATTGAATTGTGTGGAACGCGAAACACGCAGGTAGTTCAAAAATACGGCGGACAGACTTAAAGCCAGAAATTGTAACAAGAAACTTACTGCATAGCAAATATAATATACTTTTACTTTTATAATACATATCAGAGAATAAATGGTTTTTTATGGTATGTCCGATAATCTGCATAAAAGCCCCTGATTACAATAGAAGCTTGTTTGAAGATACCAACTAATTAGGATTAATATGATACAGAAAGAGATAAAAGGAATTTATTCAATTTGTCCATAAAATGCGTTGTAATCATCACAAAACTTGTGCCTAAGCCCATTGCGGGATAGGAATACCGCGAGAAAATATGGGGTTTATAAGGGATTAGAGAACAGCGAAGACGGAAATCATAAAATGGAATTTTCAACAACGTAGCTCATTGTAGCCGGCTATTAGCGCGCTATACGCCGACGACGTGTTATCTGGGTTTGGCCCCACACGATTTATGGGAGTTGCTTTGGCAACAAGTAAAAATCAATTCCGAGTGAAAAATGGAGGATTTAGTTAAATTTCAAATGGGAATTCGTCGTGTATATAGCAAATGAAGCGAGAACCGGCTTCTATACCCAGTCGGGTCGATGGATTCGCACGGCTGATGAGACCCAACCAAGTCGAAACAGTTGTCCAGTGCTTCCGAGCTTTTCAGTTCACGCTTCATTTGCTATATACACGACGAATTCCCATTTTAAAAATCAATTCATTGTGGGGAAATAATCAGAAAAAATAAACGATTCGATTAACACTTCTGGTTCCCAGTTTCTGACCTACCTGAATGAATGAGCCTCGCGTTCGCAGAATCTCGTAGACCATAATCACCGGGATCATGATCACACTGCATGCAGCTAAAAGCCAGCCGAGTGTGATCGACCACTGGGGGAAGTAGTAGATCTCGGTCCGTGAAGCGCGTTCATAGGTCACCTCCTCGTGGACAGCCACACTGATGATAAAAAGACCCTGGAAAGGCAATGCAAAAGCAATAACAACACGATTCTATAGTGATGTCACAGCTGAAAATAGATGAAACATGAGATCATGTTGCTGAATGCTATTATTATTATTCGCAGTTAACTCGCAATTACTTGTGAGTAGTGTTGTGGGATAATTGGTATTGACGGATTGACTACCATCCTCAAGATTTCACCTTGACTCACATTCCTCAGTCCTTTTTTATTACACATATTTATGCGGTGAGCAGATGGGGCGAGCCCCATAGTCACGAAGACCTGCTGCTCTGTCATGGAAACTTGGAGTGGTGAACTACCACTGTGCCAAACAGCTTATACTATGGCCGAAACAAATTGCCAATTGAGTGATGAGATCTAATAAGAGCGAGTGTATGATTGACTGGATGAACTAATGAATTGTGCATGAAGTCGATGTCCGAAAGATAGTCGGTTCCTACAGTTGAACTATTTAAATCGCAACTTGATAAAGCATTGGAACACTCAAAATTTCAAAATCCATGAATGATCACACACATTATTATCATTGTTATTTTCTCTTTGTGAAGTTATTCAAAACATTCTGTAAAAATCCTATGGGGCATGATAAGCTTTAGCTTTGTTAAAAAACGCCCATACTAAAACCTTGACTTTGACGTTGACAAATCAATAAATATCAATTATCAGAAACCGTTACTCACATGTAACTGTGAATTAAATGCGAAGTTTTTATGCGAAATGGCAAATGCATCAGACAGAGTTTGCTTACTAATGTGAATACGGGACTGATAAAGCACCAGAATATTGGCGGTAAAGATCCGAGACCCCATCCATGCATGTCTTTCATGTGTTTTCCCATTTTTTTCGCTCCTGTGCACAAGGACAGAAGAGCAATAGAATGCGGGGGTGGGGGGATGGGGCGGGACGGAAATCGTTTTATCCGAAGCAGCGTCAATGGATACGGTCAAACATTTGACTTAATTATTCAAAAAATTTGAATAGCTTTGACCCAACGAGTTGGTGAGCGAACAGTTGTTTTCCGATTATTCTAGTCATACTCTTACACAACATACAAGTAGTGGACAAAATGTTTCCTGGAATGGCAAGCGTGAACTCGAATTTAAGGTCATTAATCGGAGGCAGAGAGTGGAGGATGTGCATGAGTGCGTGTACATGTCACACCCTTTAGTGTCTCAGCTGACTTGGCCTTTCCCCACTTGGGTCACGTGACACGTTATGTTCTGTTTTGGTTTGCACACCAGGTCAAGGCAATTGGAGCGTCTGCACCCGTCTTTTTTGGGTACACAGGTTGAGGCCTAATAAGCGAATAGCGATTGCCTCAGTCATGGCTAGTCTCCAAACTCGGGTGGCCCTCAATGTATTGAGTGGGATGCGATCAACCATAGTGAAAGATTTCTCTGGTCCGATCTTGTACGCAGTGTCGACGAGATGACCCGCAATTGACGGAGACTAAGGCTTCGGTTACATGCTTCACAAGTCGTAAGGAGAGTGGTTAGGTGTTCTGTCGTCATGGTTAACGACAGTTGAGAGTTGATTAATTCTTTTCCAACTTGTCATGATTTCTTCCCCCCGCCTCACTGCTTAACGATTTGATGTAAACTGTGACTTATTAGCCTGTAGGAGAATCATCACAAACGAGCTTGTTCGCTACTCTGTGTTTTCTTACAATGTATAAGGACAGTTGAGAGTTTTCCGCTACTAAACAGACTAAACTGGACACTTCCCAACATAAAGGAATGTGACAATCTGTGAGATTGAGTCCAACAGTCTTGATCTGATGTTCAAATTATGTTGCTCAACCGAGAAAGGAAATATGTAAAAATGTAATAGCTTCGATGGGATTCGAACCCAGACACGGATACCACCTAACCGTTTGTACCACGAGTGCGTACTCCATTAGCTAAGCTAGAGATGACCAGATCAATATGTTGATTTGGGAAGTACGAAATCAATTGTATTTTTTCCTCCGACCAACAGGAGATGCACAAGTGCCAGATTTCTACACTTTTTCATTTTCACCTCCTTTTATTGAATATATAATGATATTGTTCTCTCAAATTGGATTAGATTAAAACGCTAATAGCATTGCACAGCCGAGGTACAAAATAACCCATCTGTTAGGCGTTATTTAAATTGTTTTGGGGATCATCTATCAATGATTTTTAATCGGACGAGATCCAAATACAGTGGTCGAATACAACCCACCAATTCAATTGTTAACCACAAAAGTAAATTAATGTGATTTTTTAATACAATTCATCTTGTTCAGAACAAATAAAACTGTGAAATAAGAAGGTGTGAGGCAATGGACAGCTGTTTCGATCTGATTGGGTCTCCTCAACTGTATGAATCTGTCAGGGATCAAACCCAAGACCTCACAGGTAGAAAAATAGGCATACTTAGACTAGTACGACGATTCTAGTCCAGTTACTGAGTGGAGTGATAAACAAAAAAGAAAGATCACTTGTTACCAACTGGGGAAGAAATGTGGGGTATTCCCATAGCGTGCTTGTCGGACCCGTAGCCAAAGACCAGCTGGAAAACTGTTCTCCATTGATCTGACTTGTTGCTTATCACAGGGTGTCTGACCACTGGACATTAAATGCAACGGTTGCTACTCCGTTCGTCTAGTAGTTTTGTGGCTTCAGTAAATCGATCGATTAGAAGGTAGTAAATACAAAGAAGGTCTCACGCAAATGGTGTGTATGTGTGTGTGTGTGTGTGTGCGTGTGCATGTGCGCACAGTGAACTTGTTTTCATCAGATTTGAGGTCAGTGTGTTGTGGGACAGATAAAAAAGGAATTTGATCTCATCAAACGCCAGGCAGAGATATCGATTGATTGGAAATACGGATAAACAAGAGGTTAGAGCTTACCGTAGAAGTAACCCACAGCAATACACTCAAAGAAGGCGGTCAGTAGAATGATGCGACTTCCGGCATAGTGATTGAAAAGCTGGAATACATACATGCCACCCTGAACAGTCCAGTTTGGGGATGGAGAGAAAGAAGAACGGACCAAGTTGTGTCACTTCGTTTTACTTGAATATCGACCTGATATGATATTTTTTTAGAAATTAAGAACTGTTACGCCCTAAATAAAATAAGCCTGTGCAGGTAGAATATCACACCGTCCGATCAGCTGCCCGGTACTCCAGGATTGGAAGCGTACTCATTTTGATTTGCTCGAAGTATGTGCGTTGTGCGACTTGACAGAGGCGCGAAGTAGCACCGTTCCGTTGAGGACGAACTGGGCTGTTTGTAAATCATCAAATTCAACGTGCACTTCCCTGTTTGGAAATCTAGGAAAAAAATACCTCTCAACACCAAAGCGCGCGCGCGTGCCCACCGCACACACACAGGCTATAAACATGTGACCTATCTATGTCAGTTGTATTTTTTTGTCATACCACTTGTAACTAGCAATCGTGTACAAATAGATATTCGAAACATTGGGTCCTCTTTATCCAATTCGTTAGAACCGATAGAAGGCAAATAATGCGAGATGTTAACATTTCTTTTAATCTCTTCTTACACAATCAATCAGATTGCCATGGAACCGATTTCCCACCCCACCCTCTCCCTCGCTTCCCTGACTATTGTCCGTTTTATCACTATAGTTATCAAAACTTGCTTGTATAATTACCAGATTGTTTTACGTTGTGGCGACTGAAGAGATTAAAAGAAATGTTAATATCTCGCAGTATTTGTCTTCTATCGGTTCTAAAGAAATAGATATTCGCTGTATGTAACGATGGATACCTGATGAGATGTTTCAGCAAGAATGTTGTCGGTAGTTCGAATACTTGAATTTGATTGCTTTGATAACCGAGATATACCAATTACTCTAAATTGGAGTTGAATATGGAACTAATGACCATTGCTCGGCACTTTGCAAAACATTTTTCGACTCGGTTTCGTGAGTGAGCGAGTGATTGAGTGAGTGAGTGGCTGAACGAGTGAGTGAAGGAGCAGCGGAGCCAGACAGAGTGGGTGGGCACTGATAGGTACAAAATGTAAAATACCCGGGTGTCTTAGACGACGCTGAAAAAAGAGTTAGAGAGGGATATGGTTCTCTCTCTCTCAAAAAAAAAACAATCCCATCCTTTGTGTATGCAAAATAAAATTAGGGAGGATAATAATAGGATCAAATGGAAAAAAGGTGCAGTATTCCATTGGATGACTTACCTCAGTGATCATAGACAAACCGACCAGGTAACAGGCCAAACAAACCGATGCGACAAAAATTATTCGAAGCTTGGTTTGATGAACCAGTTTCGGGTAGAAATCGGTGACCGAAGTGATAAATCCTTCGACGCCTGCAAACTGTCCAAAACAGTGGTATATGCAAATGTGTTTCTTCAAATTGATATCAATCAATGTGATCGAGAACACTATCTCATTCCTCGAGTGACATGACACATAAACGCTGCTAAATCATATTGAAATGGCCTAATGATGCCAGAAGGCAATTCCATTTTGTGACCCCAGTTCACAATTCCGATATAATGATCACAATGGTCAAGCCGAAGGTAGAATAACTGCGACCCAGAGGGGTCCAAAGAAAGTATGAAAACAATGATTGGAACTATCTTCTAAGACGAAACC